GGAAGACAATGGAAAGCTAGAGAACTTGGTATTTCTCTAAGGAAAGAAATATATTTGTCCAAAAAACTAAGAGAAAAGGAATATCTGCCATTATGCAAACACCACTGGGGAGAAAAATCATAGCCCTAGCTAAAGTTAACGGGGCGACTGTTACAGACCTATTTGACACTGGTTATTGGTAGGTCTTCATTTAATGAAAAAAAGGCAACATCTGTGGGAAAAGAGTATGTTTGCTAGTATGTATGGGCAAACTGAGATGGTCCCATTTTTTAAAGTCATCATAGAAGCACAGGAAAATGAGCAGATAATAGTGGTAGGAATAATCTGTAATCTCCCATGTAACCTAGTGATAGGGACAGGTTTTCCACTTATGAAGAGTTGAACTCAGGCTAAGATAGTGGCAGTAACCATAAGAACCCAATTGAAGGCAGGGATGAGGTTGAAAATGAAGCAGGAAGGGATATGGAACCTGGGATCCTTCCTAGTCACACTGGTTTAATAGAAGGATGTCCTGGAAAGGAGAAAGCCTTATGAAAGGCCAACAAAGGGTGAATCATAGGATAGAGACTTCTAAATGGGAAATTCACTTAGGATTCTTACAAGAGAAATACCTTTCTTTTGCCTTGTTAGTGGCAGAAAAGAGGGAAACAAGGAAACAATATCCAAATTACAAGAAAAATCAGAGTTTCTGTTCTGAATTAGGCTTCATTCATATTCAAGAAGTAAGTTGAACAAATAGTAGTTCTTTAGGAATATTGCAAGGTTATATTGGAACTAGGCCACGAAAATCCATGGTCTGGACATTCAGAATGTTAGGTAGATTTTATTGGCCAGGGATTGGGAAAGATGTGGCCCCATTACTATAAATCCTGCCCCATTTGTCAAATAGTGAAAAGGGGAACATGGATAAAGTTCCAATGGAGAGAGGGGGTGGCTTTAATCCCTATTCCTTTTTCTAAAATAGCCAATAGGCCCTCTGCCATGACACAGTAGAGGGAATGAATATTTCTGCATTCTGTGATTTGCAACCCAGCTTCCTGAAGCAATTTCATTGATGAATATGACAGCTGCACAAGCAAGCGAAGCCTCATCCATGCACATGTGGGATCCAGGCAATGTGTGAAGCTATGGAAAAACCACCCTCCAAGGAAATGGTCCCTAGTGCCCAAGAGGTTGGGGGGCTACTGCTTTTACAGAGGGATGTAGTGGCTCAGTGGCTAAGATGCTGAACTTGTTCATCACAAAGGTCGGCAGTTTGGTGGTTTGAATTCCTAGCACCGTGTAACCGAGTGAGCTCCCATTACTTGTCCCAGCTTCTGCCAACCTACCAGTTCGAAAGCACGTAAAAGCGCAAGCAGAAAAATAGGGACCACCTTTGGTGGGAAGGTAACGGTGCTTCGCCCGCCTTCAGGGTTTAGTCATGCTGGCCACATGACCACGGAGACGTCTTCAGACAGCACTGGCTCTTCAGCTTTGAAACGGAGATGAACACTGCCCCCTAGAGTCAGGAACGACTAGCACATATGTGCAAGGAGAACATTTACCTTTACTTTTTTACTGGATTAAAAGTACCCAAGACATTCTCTTTGTTTGGATGAAAACAGTTAGACCCACTGGATGCCATGGCTATAATTTAAAACTTCGGTGTACATCCAATGGCAGGTGACTACAAGAAGGAAAAATAATGCAGGTAGTTTGGGCTTTATTCTGTCTCCTCCCCTTGGCACTCCACCAAGTGCCATTTATCAATGAAATAACTCATTGGAGATCACTTCCTTCCTTCTGCCTTTTTTCCCCAGGCACATACAATGTTCTTGAGCCCTCCTCTCAGTAGGATGTGGCAAGCAAAATGCTAGTCTTTCACCTCTCCTTATCATTTATATCTTTTATTAGTTGTAAAGCCTGGTTCACTAGTCATCACCCAGGTCATATTCCAACTCTCAGGAATGCTCTCAAGCACATATAAGGCTTCAGCCTCCTTCCAAAAGAAACAAGAGTACCAGCTGTACCAACTTCGAATCAATCAAAATACTGACACACACACACACACGCACACACACACACACACCTACATACATATTTTGAAAGTGATGTTTTATTGCCAACAGCAACATCTTCCCTTACTGGGGGCAGCGTTTGGATCATGTTAATAGTTGGGGTTTTTGTTGCTTAAAAAAGGAACAAAGCCCTAACAGTCCACCGGCAAACGGGTGTGGAATGAAAGTTGAACTGATCCAGAATTTCTCTCAACATGTTGTGCGGGTTTATAAATAATGCATCAAGCTGGGAACAGAACCAGCACATTTTGTGTTTTCTCATATGATATGACACACTTGTCCCCTCCCCCCTGCTGATGCCTGTCAGAGAATAAAATCATTTTTGTCTCCCTTTCATTTTCCAAAGTCCTGCACAGGGCTGAACATTTTTCCAGCAGGATTTTTTTTTATTCTGTTCCCCAGCAAATCCTTTTCTATATGTAACAGACACAGCAGGCCAGATGCTGTTGCTGTTCCAAATTCCAAGTCCAAATAAAGTTCTTTAAAAGCAAGTATCTTTCCATACAAATTAATTGCTGCAAAGAAAATGGGCGAAAGGCATCTGGACTTATAGATTCTGCATTGCTAACACCTCTGAATTGTTAAATTTTCAGATGCAATGAGGGCAACCCAATGCATTATTTCTTTTGAGACCTAGGACCCAGTTAAGTGCCACACACTTAACTATTTATGCAAACAATGAAAGGACTGATATGGGTCCGTGTACACAATTCTACCACTGCACAGATGCTATTTCTAACTGCCTAGTTCCTATTCTTATCTTTGTAATTAAAAGATGTGTGTTTCATGTTGTCACTGAGATCAACTATCCAGAATAACCTATACAGCCAACTTTCAGAAACACTAAGGCCAGATTAAAGCTAACGTGCCTCCTTCCTTTTGAACAAATTTGACCTTCAGCTTGACTTAAACAAGGGAAAACCTACATTGTATTCATTATTAACATATTCACCTCTTCATCTCTTTCCTAGAGATCTAGTTTCTGTGTTGGTGGGAAGAAACAAATATGCCAACCACAAGAACTGCAGTATGCCAATTCATCTGTACATCTCCCTATTTCTTAACCAGCTTCCTGTTGGAGGCGGCCCACCTGTGGCAAATGCATCATACAAAGGCCTCCTCCACAAGGTTTTGATGAGATTTCCCAATTCACCCCAAATTGCTGTTGCCATTATTTTCATGGCATGCCAATGCACCACAATTTTTGTGTGGAAACTGGGGGTTATGGGAAGCATTTGGAAAAAGGTGCTTTGGTGTGTGTGGGGAATGCTTACAAATGCTTGTTTCAGAAGCTTCTCCTACTGTTTCCACCATTTGCCACCACTTTGCTTCTCTTCACGGTTTGCAGGATCCTAGCAGAAGTAACTGATGGCGCTCTACAGTAGCGATGTTAAACTTGCAGCCCGCAGGCCAGATGCATCACGTGTTAGCCATGCCCACGCATGGTTTAGCAAAGGGGGGAAAAGTTGCAATAGGATGCCTCCGTGATGCCAGTTTGACACCACTCTTCTAGAGCCAGGACTATAGCAATAGCAGTTAAGACTTACACACCGCTTCATAGGGCTTTCAGCCCTCTCTAAGCAGTTTACAGAGTCAGCATATTGCCCCCAACAACAATCCGGGTCCTCATTTTACCCACCTCGGAAGGATGGAAGGCTGAGTCAACCTTGAGCCGGTGAGATTTGAACAGCCGAACTGCAGAACTGCAGTCAGCTGAAGTAGCCTTTAACCACTGCACCACCTTGGCTCTCACAAATCTTAGGGATTGTCTTCCACTACTACCACCAGCCAAGGCAGCAACTGGTCAGATAGAACCCATCTATCTTTGAACTGCTTGACCACTTCCATACTTTTTGCTTCTGGTGTCACATATAATTCCCCCACATTTCTACCTCACCTTGTCATCCCCCTTCACTCCTTTCCCCATCTCTTCATCCTTTTTTTCCTTCCTGCTTCCTCCTCACCCTTATATTTTTCTCTCAAATTTCCTTGATGCAAGAGGAACTGTAAGAAAATCCACTAAGATCTGCATTCAAGAAAACTCTAGCTCCTCATGTGAGCCTGCTGAGATGCTGGGAATGGATGGATGGTTTGTGCACAGCCACATCTTCTTTAGATCTACATGGATTTTGAGCAATAGAATGTTGGTTTCATAAGTACTAAATGTGTTTCCTTAACAAAGTTTCTAACTTGCTAACATGGAAATGGCACTGCCATTGTTCTTCTTAAAGATAGTTCTTGAAGAATGGATCCAAGCACCTTCACCATTTAATGAAAAAAGGCATTTTTTTAAAAAAAGAAAGGAAAACCATCCTGGTGCTTTGACTTATTTAAGCAATATAACTTTACTTTTGATGCAGTTGTCTTACAAACATACTTAATACAATTGCTGACCAGTTTACACTGTCCTCCTTCCATTCCCCCGGACTAGAACTACAAACAGTAAAAAAAATAAAATACCGGTAACTGGCAGCTAAGTTTGTTCCTGGATTCCAATTAAGAGACTGTTTCTGTCTGCTGTATGTTTAAACCCCCTCTGCTGGACAAATAGTTGATTCAAATGTCAATACTTATAAGAAGAACAGTTGAGTCAGAGTTCCCAGCACAATCTACAATGCAAAGACCATTGCTTTTATCTATGTGAGAAAGACCTTGAGACAAGATGCTGCCTAGGGAACAGTCAGATAAGAGAGGACATTGCCTGCAGCTGCATAATAAGAGAAAGAGGCTCAGAAAGATCCTAGTATCTCACCCCCTTTTCAGTAAAGGAGGCCAGTAGATTTGTATACTTAAGACCTTGCAAGATTGCGTTAATGTGGTGTTACAATGAAATATAATTAGCTTATCTGATCATCTTTTTGGTCTGGTTTACTTGGGAAGGCTGACATCAATCTTGCAAGTCTGGGAGACTAATAGACAAGGGAAAAAACACCCACCAGTATATTTTTCCAGCTAAAAAGCCAGTGCTTTCAAGAATTTAATTCCTCAGATTACAGTCATTTTTCCATGATTCAAAACACACTTTTTTTTTTTAAAAAAAGAGGATTTTCTCACAGCCAATCTGATCACGCTGAGTTAACAAAGTAAAGATAGTAAGATTTTTTTGTATGTGTACGGGGAGCACCAATATTTCTGTAAAATCTACAAAGCAGATTTTACTTTAACTTTATTACTGTTACTGTTACATCATACCATCAACAGATAGAATGTTGTAAAATAAGAGTAGCAGAATGATTGGTTCCTGCCTTTATAAGGCTACAATCTATACTTTATTGAAGGGCAAGACTAAGCAAAAACACTTATAAATGACATTTTATATCTACTGCCTTAATTCGCTGGGGAATGGATTGAGATTTTCAAGGGCTTTATAGATGAGGTGAAATTTTAAAAAGACAGTGATAAAAAGTAGGAATCGGGTGTAGATTAGGAACCAAAATAAATATTTTGCTTTTTTTTTGTTTCCCATCTTTTCTTGCATCTGTTTCCTTTATATTTCATAATTTTTGGCTCCAATGCGCAAAAACAATGCCTGGATTTATTTTTAATGATACAGATTTTTCTTTTCTTGAGCTGAAATCCAAAAATCTAGATTCACATAGAATTCGACTGATCATTATAAAATGTCAAGTTTCTCAGCTTCTTCCTGCTGGAGGTTGGGCAGTGTGTTTTGAACATACATTAAATCATCACCTCTATAACCAGAAGGGATTTAGAATTTAAAATAACAGAGTTGGAAGGGACCTTGAATGTCTTCTAGTCTGACCCCCTGCTTAGGCAGGAAACCTTACACCAATTCAGACAAGTTTACCAAACTCTGAACTTCTCTTCCTGGGAATTAAAATCGCAATTGATTTTTTTTTTAATTCAGTGGATAATACCTATGAAAAATGATGAGAGTCCTAACCTTTCCTCAAAGTATATTAAAAGATAGCAGAGAATCATCAACACAGGCAGTTTTATAAAAAAAATATATATTTTTGCAACATAGCAATGCTCTAATAAAGCCACACTGATTAGGCCTGATTTACTTGGTTGGGGATAGGTGCTCAGAGCTTTGGGATGGAACAAAGGAAAGGAGAAGACATTATTGTTAAGCCATCACATGAAGCAGATTTTTCTGCAGTCTATAAAGTTTGCACAATGTTTTCTTAAAGTTCTACAATCACTGTAATGAGATAATTGATTTTGCAACATTGGGAAAACGTATTACTGACAATCATCAGTACAGGAAAGCCAAAAACAAACAAACATGGGATTTCAATATAATTGTGCACTTTAATGTTTACATCAATCAGTTACTCATCAAGAAAGAGCAAAACACCAGGAATCTGGTAGATAAAAGATTCCTGATTTATTTGATTTATTTTGCCACTGTTTGCTCTCCTTACAAAAAGAGCAAATGTTTCTAAATTCATCCTGCTTACTCCACTTAACTTTTGTTTTGTAAATGACAGCTTACATGTACTCACTTGGCTGACATTAGCTGATTTCAAAAAGTTAAGCAGGATCAAATCTGGTTAGTCCTTGTAGGAAAGACTATCAGGAAATACAGTAATAGAGTTGTGTTTTGGTCTGAAAAGTTAACAATCTCAGGAAGCAGCAGTGCCATATCATTTCTATACTGTTATCCAAATTATATGGACGTGTCCCTGATGGTGAAGAGAACGGAGGTTTTACTTATTTTATAAATACGTAACTACAGTACCAGAAGCTCTGTTAAGGAGAACTATGGCCTCCATCTGCAATGGTGCTGTGAATGTGTGTGCAGTTCTAAAATGTTTTATGCTCAAGTTCTGTTTCAATAATTTGTTTAGCTTATGCTCACAACATAATTTAAATTATAAAGCAACTCTGCCCTGATTTATATTATAGGTGAATTTGGAACATTCTGGTTGGCTTGCTTTTTAAGTAATTTCAGCCGGAAAATGGTTATCTGAGGTCTTTTTCACCTCTCCATTGTGGACCTGTCAATTATAGTTTTAAAGTCTAATGTTACTTAAGACTATACTGAATAATCAAATAACCAAACTTTGTGAAATAATCACTACGGCACTCGTTCACAATTTCAGAAAATGGCAAACTATCAATCCCACTAAGTGTGTAGTCCCACAGAGTAAATCCAAAATTCTTAACCACAGTTAGCATACTTTAAAGTTGGATATCACCCACTGAACTGAACATTCAGTTAAACACTTGTACAGTTTAATAGTTACATAATGGTCAGTCATTTGTGAAGCATACGGAAGGTGTTTTGAAAAAACATGATACGATAATGGTTACTGTATATTGGGCAAGACATCTGCCTGCCATCATTCAGTAAAGCTGGAACAAGAAAGAGGTTCTACCACAGTTCTACAAATCTTGCATCACGTAGTTCCATCAGTTGAAAGTATACTGTGAGAATTAAATACTCATCTTTACATATACACAACTTATGCTGTGAAAGCATATTTGCTTACAAACATATAAAAATACTTGTTAACTAGTTTGATAAGAAAATAATGTATAAAAGTATATAGCAAAAAACATTTAATCATCTGACAATGGAAAGAGCAAAATCCTCTTTTTATATTACATGAAAAACAAAAGCTACAGATTAACTTTTCTGGAATCTCCTACTTGGAAATACAAAAGGAAGACACAATTTTATTCCAAACCATGATGTAACATTATTTAAAACTAAAATGCTCCAGTCCATAATGAGCCCAGGTATTTGGCCATAAAGCTGTAATACTAATAATCCTGTAGCTATTACTGGAACCATAAAATAAATACAGTAGAGAGTTGAGCACTGGAGAAAACTACAGCATAAACAAGAGCTGTAACACAAAACCTTGCCAATGAAATTCAGTGTATTGGCTTCCTGTAAGGCAGGCTGAATTTTGTTGCCTAATCTAATTAAAGGGAAAAACCTCCAAACCTACTTTTTAAAAAAATACTCTACATATTGATTAGAGAACTCTTTCTCTCTCTCTCTTGAGTATGATCAACAAAGATCTCACTGGGGGGGAGGAGGGGGATACCCATACAGCCATTTTAATCTTGACTTCAATAGACTCCTAAAACTACTTTTTGTCCATTGTGAATAAAACTCCACAAAGTGCAAGTTTCTTGACATAAGGAAAAAGAATTTGGGAGTATTAAAAGAAGCCTTAGTGTATTGACCTCTGATGTGAGATGACTAAGGTGTCTTCTAGGTCTGGACCAGTCTGATTCTTTCCAACTAAGGCTATTTTGGTGACCATTTATACAACATGCACACATAAAGCAAGACAAAACATCGAGACACACAGGAAGAAAAGTGAGGAGAATTAATCTGGCAGTCGATAGCTTGTTTTAAAGGATCTTCAGACGATGACACAGTGGCACCCTTTCTTGTCCTTCTCCTTCCTCGTTGGCTCTGGGGAAGGAGGACATTCTTGTTCTTGAAATTTCCTATGAAAGAAAAAAAAATCAGATAAGACTTACGGCTTGCTTCAATCTTATACAGTTCCACCTATAATAAGTCTGCTTAGCTTATGCATTGCTCCAGCTGTCTCTGATTGGATCACACAGACCAATGCCAGTGTTACGTTCTAGCGTTTGTCAAGGACACAAACAGAGAAGCAGGCTGGTATTGTAAACGCTTTATCTCTAATGTTGCCAAAACTTGCAATAACCGGCACCAGGTGACGAACAGCACAAAGGCAAATATTCAAAGTCAGTTCTAACCTGGTTAACCACACCACTGTAATATATACTCTCAACCCCACCCATATCCACCCATAAACCACACCCCTCCCTGTCCCCCGCCACCACCCATTACCTACACCCCCACACAAAGAGAACCAGCGTCCCGCAGACTGTCCACAAATGGAACAGCCACCCTGCCCACAGATGGCTGAGGAGTGAGAGCTATCCAGGTGGGTCCCGCCAGACAGAGGAGGGGCAGGGTCCATCCAGGCAATCTCCAGCAAACCGAGAAATGCGTCCGCTACAGGGCTGCTGCGGCACTCTCCCGATGACATCACCAGAGCCAGCTGGGGCAAAAGGATCAAACATGGAGCCCCAAAGTCCACTGCGCTGCTACAGGCACCAAAGGTCCCACGCCACTCCGAGCACCCAGAGCCTGAGGGGGGCAGGCAAGATGAACCGGTGGGAGAACGGGAGTCGTAGGGTAGCTGACTGTCGGGACGCTGCGGTAAGCATGGAATCAGTATTAAGAACCGAGGTGGCGCAGTGGTTAAATGCAGCACTGCAGGCTACTTCAGCTGACTGCAGTTCTGCAGTTCGGCTGTTCAAATCTCACCGGCT